CCCCAGCCATAATAATCTTCAGCAACAGCTCTTACTATCAAGTGGATTTAATCTCAGCAGCCGCTGCCAGGGAACATTATATAAAAAGGAAAGGAAAACCTGGAACTGCGGTGTATAAAGGACAGCATTCCTCTTTATGTCTGAGCACATTTCTCCCCCAATTTCTCTGTTTCCTGTGTGCCTTTGTCATTCCCAGGTTCAACCCCAAATCTGATTTTTAAATATATTTTTAAACTGAATCTTTGGGAATTTCACATCATGGACCTCAATCCCACTGGTTTCTCATTCCCTCCAAATTCACTTTTACCCTTGCAGCATCTCATCCCATCAAGGACAATTGTCAGGGCCTGTGTATTGGAAATCTATTCTATCCTGACACAAGTTCAGAGAGCTCCTATTGTCTTTTTTTTTCTATACAAGTAAGGTTATCATTGTTTAGATAGAACGATAAATCTAGAACTTATCTCAAAGAGATAATAGTCACTCATGGTAAAATATCATGAGATATGCAAAATCACATGTAATACAGCAGTAAAGATGTTTGTGTAGTGCCTCTGACTAGTCAGACTCTCTTTTAGCGTGTGACAGTTTTATCACTGTATACACTGCATATATTCCAGGGATTAGAGGCAAAATTGAACATTAATTAGAAACAGACAATTTACTTGTTGCCCACATGGCTGCTGTTTTCTACTCCTTGCATAAGCAAAGCAGAAAGGATTTTCATGGGAGTCATGGTTCATCAGCAGAAAGGGACTCACAGTTGGGAAACATCCAGAGGCAATTGTAGCCATTTTCACCAGGAGCCAATCTGGATCATAAAGAGCCAAACTAGCCTGCAAGAGGGAAGAAAGTGTGTAAAAGCAGATAAAGGTGCTCAACAAGAGCAGAATGGTCTTTGTGGCCCTGGTCTCAGGGGAGGACCTGAGGGAAAATTGGCTCCTATGAATGCATCTCATTCTCTGCTTATGTCTGCAGAGGATGTAGAGCATGGAAACGCTGGACCATAGCATCAGGCCCATGAACAAGACATCCGGACCTGAGAGTAATACTGCATAGAGGAGGTCACTCGTTTTGTCAAGATAAACAGCAGAACAGTATCCATACTGTTTTAGACTTGTCATGTTTCTATGGCTCCATCTTGCAGTCATGTTCATAGGAAAAGCAATATTTGCTATGAGGGACAGGATCCAGCTCAGGTACACACAAGAAGCAATGTAACTTGGAGACTTGACTTTATCCTTTTTCCATATTAGACACGTAGAGCTGATGGTGGTGGCCTGAAAGACACCCAGGAAGCTGGTGCTGCTGATGGACACACCCCTACCTACTCTGTGAAGATAGGGGAGAAGTTTGCACCCAAAATCATCCAGGAAGTCTTTCAAACCAAAGGCTGCCATTGTCTCAGGAACTCCTTTACATATGAGCGTTAAGAAGTTGGCTACAACCAAATGCTGTAGAATCCACTCTGTGAACCTTATCCTGCTCCCAATGAAGTAAAGTGACAGATAATGGTAGGCTAAGAGGGAGTTGCCCAGGATACCAACTGCAGTCTCTGATAAAATGATCATTCCTACTGTGACCTCACCAGCTGCCATGCTGTTGGTTGTTGTTTGCTGACCTTGAAGATGTACATGGAAGGGTTAGGCACAAGCTGCATGGACTGCAGGAAATCCAATCTTCCCATCTATGGTTAATCACTTAGGGTTCTTCTATAACTTAGGATATGATTTTGGCGCAAACATTGTTTCACAACTTTAGAGACTCCATTTGTAGATGGATATGCTATGAAAACTGCATACATATCTCTCCTGCTGGTTTCAATGTGAAGACAAGCACTCTGGACTGTATAAAAAAGGGAAGGAAAACACAAATCCATCTCTTTCAAATATTTGTAAATTCCTACTTAATTGATGGTGAAGTTATGACTTTATACCAACTGAATGAAGGTGCTGAAATTATAGTAATAAACCAATATCTGTAAAACACCCCAGGTCAGTTTTAAAAGCAAATAACATATCATTGTGATTAATTCTTATTCAATTACACAGTGATGAATAGTTTTAATAATGAGAATGTTTTTGTTTGAATGTAAAATTTATATTTATCAGATATAAATGTATCAGCTGGGTGATACATTTAATCCCTTTAATCCCAGCACTTGGGAGGCAGAGGCAGGTGGATCTCTGTGAGTTGGAGATCAGCCTGGTCTACAAGAGCTAGTCCCAGACAGCCTTGAAAGCCACAGAGAAACCCTGTCTCGAAAAAACCAAAAAAACCCCCAACAACAACAGCAACAACAACAAAAACACAACAAATATAAATGTATCTTTATATAATGAAGAAAATTGAGCTGCAATCTGCCTTATGACTTGTGATTGGTATTAATTGAAAGCTGTCCAAATAGAATATAGGTACCTAATGACTTACTTATTATGCTACAATCACAAGTAAAATAAAACTTAAAACAATGTAAATTAAATAATATGGCTGAATTACCACAAAGAAGAAATAACCCAATATTAAACATGGGAAGTTTAATGTGCACAGCATTACCATTGATTGGATGAAACATTGATGTGCTGATTAATAGCAGAAGATACCTTTGTTTAGCAATGGAGTTTGGTTGATAAATAGCATTTCTGTGGTGGTCATGTATGCATACTGCACTGCATTGGCATGGAAGTGATTTACTATTATAAAATTGAAATGATTAATCTCTGTACAAAAAACCAAGGTTAGTTTCTATAAATGTTTTAGATTCACGGCTGTACTGTGCAGCATAAAAATAGACTCAAATGTGCCCCTGGACTCAAACATCCTCTAACTGAATAACAGATGGATATTTTCATGACAAAAAGAGAGACAACTCATTAAGCAAGTAAGAAGGAGATGACACACCAATAATGATGATAGGTTGAGAGTGCATTATACCAATGCTTACTTTAACCTGAAGATACCTTAAGAAGGAATCAGCTTCAAAATGAGCCCAGACGGCAGGTCTTTCATTGTAGATACAAGCCCTGTGTTCCTGTGTGCTGAGGTAAGGAGAACCCAGCTCTCAACACTAGATACAATTATTTACTCAGGTATGTAGGGTTCCCTTAGATTCCTTACCCTGTTCCTGGCATTCGTGGAGGCAGCGTGGGACCAGCTCCTGGAAAGCCAACATCTCAGAAAAAGATTCCTTGGAGGGCTGAGCAGTTGATGACTTTAAAAAAAACTCTCAGCAATTTGAAAACCAGGTTTAATTATCACTCACAGCTGTGAGCAATACCACAGCTGTGTGAATGGGGGCCTCATCTACCTAGATGGGCAATGGTTACTTTGGGTCTCGGACCTCAGTTCTCTGATGATATAGCTCTAGATTTCCTAAAATTAAAAAGTTTTTTTTGTGCGTTTTTAATGTAGGATATGCAGTATTGAGTCACCCAAAGAGTTCTATGGAAAAAAAATGGAAGAGTATAAGACAGAATCAATGTGCCCACTGCTTTGGAACTCAGTATTCAGCAGGAGTTTTTTTTTAATACTACATTTTTTTAAAAAAGAAAAGCTATAGTTTACTTGAGCACTCCTATCTATGCAAACAACTGATGTATCAAATTTTTCATTCATTATTTTTACTATATTCAAATGAATATCAATATTACCACAATCAAAATTAGTGCAAAGAGTAAAGGGTATTTTCATTCCATAAGTTACAAACTCACTTGGTTTTTGGAGTGGTCACCTACCTTGAGTCTTGTGATATCCTTGTACTCTGAACTCTGTTTCAAGGACTGCAGCTGGAGGAGATCCCAGTGCTATTTTATTTGACAGGATGCTGACCTCAGTGCTGTGTTCTCTGTGACCAGGAGGTGAGCTGCAGGGAGGAAGCCAGTGCCTGAGATATGGGTATTAATTCTGTGACCTCACACCTTGTCAGACTTGCAATTACCTTTTCACCTGGAGTAGCAATAGGCACACAGGGCTGTGGTGCCAAGAACTTTTCTGAGTAATGCCACCCATGAGGTCAGGATCCAAAAACAATAAAAAAGTTTCTTGCTGTCACTGCTTAAAGGAAATTATAGACTCTGTTAAAGCTGTCCTTTGCTTTGTTCTGTGAAGGTGAACTGGGTTCAGCTTATGATAAGGAGATCTGTATAGGGCATACCATTGAGCGTGTATATTTCATATCTCCTGGTTTTCTGAGATATTTTAAAGTCAATTATTGCTTTTCATTCCTCATTTCTGTGAAGAACTATGTTGGGATTTTGATGGGGATTGTGATGAATCTGTAGATTGCTTTAGGGAAGATTGCCATTTTTACTATGTTGATTCTACCTATCCAAGAGCATG